GCCTCTATCAAAAAAACACAAAACAACAAATGTTGGCGAGGATGTGGAGAGACAGGAACACTTTTACACTGCTGGTGGGACTGCAAATTAGTGTACATTAATTCTTTAACCAGACACTTTACTGAATTTATTTATCAATTCTAGTTTTTGGTGGAATCTTTATGTTTCTAGGCATAAGAGCATATCTTCAGCAAACAGGGATAGTTTGACCTCCTCTTTCCCTATTTGGATGGCCTTTATTTCTCCCTCTTGCCTGATTGCTTTGGTGAGGACTTCCAATACTATGTTGAATAGAATTGGTGACAGTGGATATCCTTGTCTTGTTCTGGTTTTCAGAGGGAATGCTTTCCACTTTTCTCCATTCAGTATGGTTTGTAATATATGGCTTTTATTATTATAGGTGTGCTCTTTCCACACCTAGTTTGTCGACGGTTTTTGCCATGAGGGGGTGCTGAATTTTATCAAATGCTTTTTTGGCATCTATTGAGATGATGATACTGTCTTTGTTTTTAATTCTGTTTATGTGGTGAATCATATTTATTGATTTGTGTCTATTGAACCATCCTTGCATTCCTGGAATGAAACCCACTTGATCGTGGTGAATTATCTTTTTGATGTGCTGTTGAATTCAATTTGCTAGTATTTTGTTGAGGATTTTTCCATCTAGGTTCATACGGAATATTGGTCTATAGTTTTCCTTTTTTGTGTGTCCTTTCCTGGTTTTGATATCGGGGTGATAGTGATTTCATAGAATGAGTTAAGGAGGATTCCCTCCTTCTCAATATTATGGAACAGGTTCAGTAGAATAGGTGCCATTTCTTCTTTGTAGGTCTTGTAGAATTCAGCTGTGAATCTGTCCAGTCTGGGGTGTTTTTTGGTTGGAGAATTTTACTGTTTCAATCTTGCTGCTCATTATTGTTCTTTTTAGGATTTCTATTTCTTCCTGATTCAAGCTTAGGAGGTTGTGTGGTTCCAAAAATTTATCCATTTCCTCTAAATTTTCTCATTTGTGTATGTAGAATTGTTCATAATAGTAATGGATGATAATTTTTATTTCTGTGGTATCGATTGTAGTATCTCCTTTTTCACTTCTGATTGAGCTTATCTGAATCCTTTCTCTTCTGTTTCTGGCTTATCTGGCTAGTGGTCTATCAATTTTATTTAACTTTTCAAAGAACCAACTTTTTGTTTTGTTGATCATTTGTAATTTTTTGTGTGTTTGTTTTCATTTTGTTTAGTTCTGCTCCAAGGTTTGTTATTTCTTTTCTTCTACTATCTTTGGTGTGTTCTTTTTCTAGTTCCTTGAGGCATGACTGGAGGTTGTTAATTTGTGATGTTTCTATCTTTTTCATGTAAGCATTTAAGGCTCAAACCACCCCCCACCCTCTGCCGCCAACACTGCTTTTGGTATATCGCATAGATTTTGGATGCTTGTGCTATGTTTGTCGTTCAATTTGAATATTCTTTTGATTTCCATCTTAATTTCATTATTGACCCAATGATCATTCAGCAGCAAGTTGTTTAATTTCCATGACTTTGTATAGATTTGAGGTTTTCTCTTGGAATTGATTTCTAGTTTTACTACGGAATTACCCTGTGATTGAAGAAGACACAGGGTATGATTTCAGTTTTTCTGAATTTCCTGAAACTTGTTTTATGGGCTAAAAATGATCTGTCTTAGAAAATGTCCCATGTGCTGTTGGGAAGAATGCATATTCTGTAATTTATGGGTAGAATGTTCTGTAAATGTCTGTTAGGTCTATCTGTTCTAGATTTCTGTTTAAGTCCATGTTTCTTTGTTCATTTTCTGCCTCAATGATCTGTCCAGTTCTGTCAGTGGAGTGTTGAATTCCCTGACTGTTATGATGCAGCTGTTTATTTCTTTGCTTAGATTTAGTAGAATTTACTTTATGAATCTTGGAGCTCCTGTGTTAGGTGTATATATATTTAGGATTGTTATATCTCCTTGCTAAGTTGCTCCCTTCATCATTAAATAATAACTGTCTTTGCCTTTTTTTTTTTGCCATTGTTTATTTAAAGTCTGTTTTATCTGATATAAGAATAGCCACTCCTACTTGCTTTTTGGTTCCATTCATGTGTAATATTTTTTACTATCCCTTTACCTTGAGTCTATGAGAATGCTTGCAACTGGATTTCTTGGAAACAGCATATAGTTTGGTTGTGTTTTTTCATCCATTCAGCCAGCCTATATCTTTTAAGTGGAGCATTAAGACTATTTATATTCAATGTATTGATATGTGAGATACTGTTCTGTTCCTCATGTTGAATGATACCTAGTTGTTTTGTTTTCTCTGTTCTGTTACTGTTTTATAAGCTAGTTTTTCTTATTTTTTGTAGAGACTGAGTCTCACTATGTTGCTCAGACTGGTCTCGAAGTCCTAGCCTCAAGTGATCCTTCTCCCTTGGCCTCTCAAAGTGTGATTTATTGATTTCTGAAAGCAGTTATTGAGGTCTCTTCATTAGTGTTAACTTCTCCCCCACTTAATTTTGGAGGTTACATATTTTGAAAATATATTCTTAGGTACATTAAGGTTCATGACTCATATTTTCTTTATGAATCACACATTTGATTTCTTTTTGTATTGGTTCTAGAGTCAGTAGCAACCTTTAACCCTGCCTGCTTTCCTGGCCACAGTTCCCGTATTTACTCATTTATCATCGAAGCAAATGTTGCTGCTGTCAGATACCCAGCACAAGTAGAGGAGTAGGAAGACCTTTTGACTCCTTTCCTCAGTTAGTCAACCTGATGCTGTCCTGCTCCTTTAATCTCTTGATTTCAGAGTTTGAAACTTCCTTGAGACCATGTATTTCCACATCTGCAGCAGTTTTTTTCTTTGCATCTTTTCAGCCCTAGTTTCCTATCTCAAATCGTAAAATTTTGGTCCACTGATGATGTTTACTTGTTTTCCAGTATTCTTATTACAATTAAATAGCTTTCTTCTCTCTCTCTTTCTCCCCACCTTCCCTGCAGGGGAATAGTGAAACAAGTATATGTCATTCAGCCACCTTGATCCAATATGCACTAGCTTCTTGGAGAACTTTAGCAACTTTTCTTATGTTATTTTCAGGTTTAGCAATAACTGAGTAGTTACATTCCAGTCTTAATTATTCACCTAGACAATGGCTGAAATCTTATAATTTTTTAAAATTGATTTTCTACAGTTCTTTATTCAGACTGAAACTTGATCTTAACCAAATGAGTCTAAATTTACTGATTAATGGTTAATAATTGCAATATCAACTTTTTTAGAGCTGAGACTTTAAAGGAGTCATCAAATATAGTGAAGCAGTATGATTAGATGGGAAATACTCTACATGTAGGATCAAGAGACCTGATTCTAGTACCTGGTTAGTGTAAAATTTGGCAATCACGTATGTGTTCTGTGCCTTAATTTGCTCATCTTCTATGTGTTTTGAGACTTAAATAAGAGAGTTGATGTGGAATCTTTTTGATAATATGAAACATAGGACATTTTAGGATCTTTATTTTTGCTTTTTTCAATTGTCTGAGTCATCTTTTCAATATGTTATGGACATTTAATGATTAGCCTTTAATTTATATGGTTTCCCCAGCTATAAAATACTGATAATGAGAGTAATCATAGAGTGATTATTACACATAACTTGTCAACCATTGCTCTTTTAACAGCTATGACCAGGACAAAAACTATATTTATCAAAGCATCTGTAATGAACAACGAGTATGGAGTTCCCCTGGATTCCATAGTGACAATGTCAAAAATCCTCAGACAGCACACTCTAATATTCAGTGACACACATCTATCACAAACTTTGACAGATATAAACTATATTTCCAATAAATTGCTGGGGACCAGCAGGATTCTGACAACCGAAAGTATTTCTCTTAATATTTTTTATTTTTTGTCTTTTTTGCTCTGCTTCATCCATGTTAAGAATAAAGTATTTCTTTTAATATGATTAAGTATATTCATATCAGAAATAAATCAAAGAGATATTTTTATGGGACTTTTGTGGTTCAGAAGAAAAATAAAGACAAAAGTTGGGGTGTTATTTTTTGTTTTCCCATTTCAGACTAGGTAGAATTTCAACCATGAAAAATCTAAAGGTAACAATTTAAATAGAAGGAGTACAAGTTTACTGATTTAAACAATTATCTATTTTCTTTCTCACTAATATTTACTTTGTTTTTCAGGGACATTTAGGATTGATGGGACCTGATGGAGAACCAGGAATTCCAGGATACAGGGTAATTATTTCTTATTGAAAAAATATATACAGTATGTATTTGCATGAAAACATTATATTAAAGGTTATATCCTAAATATACACATTATGATGAAATCTCCCTGATAAACCTTTCTAACATATTTAGGCCTCATCCTCCTATAGAGTGAATCTTATTTTTCATTTCAGAATAATGTAATATCTAATAGCATGGGCCTGAAGGCCTTAGAGCATATACAAATGATATAGAGAATATCTACTTGTCCTCTTGTAGGGCCATCAAGGTCAGCCAGGACTCTCTGGATTGCCAGGACCTAAAGGAGAAAAGGTATGTATATACTGGCTCTTAATCTGAAAGTAAAACATTGAATTAGTAAATTCTTTCTAAAAAAATGCATGCAAACATTTTCAAGGAATAAAAGAAATA